CATCACCATTTCTTCATAGAAGTGGTATCGGGCCACTAGTACCCCACCCCCAAAATTTCAGACCCCAAGGTAGGGGACTTCGATGTCCCCGAGCCCAATGTTTATTCGTATAGTATTATATTGTAGGGCTAAAAACTAGAAGACCATATCTCGGAAACTAGAGATGGTACTATCATTATTTCTTCATAAAAGTGGTATCGGGCCACTAGTACCCCACCCCCAAAATTTCAGACCCCAGGGTAGGGGACTTCGATGTCCACGAGCCCAATGTTTATTCGTATAGTATTATATTGTAGGGCTAAAAACTAGAAGACCATATCTCGGAAACTAGAGATGGTACTATCATTATTTCTTCATAAAAGTGGTATCGGGCCACTAGTACCCCACCCCAAAAATTTCAGACCCCAGGGTAGGGGACTTTGATGTCCCCGAGCCCGAGGTTTATTCGTATAGTATTATATTGTAGGGCTAAAAACTAGAAGACCATATCTCGGAAACTGGAGATGGTACCATAACCATTTTTTCATAGAAGTGGTATCTGGCCACTAGTACCCCACCCTCAAAATTTCAGACCACACAGCGTACGTTTAAATTTTGAATTGCAAAGTGCGTTCTAGAACGCAGTTCACTTTTGAATTGCGAATAGCGAACTGCGAACTGCGTTCTTAAATCTGAACGCCAAAGAATGTGAACTTCTGAAGTGGTCACAAATAATATAGTTTAAGATGATTCTTCATGATGTAATAGTAGTCTCCGGAAAAAAAAATAGCAAGTTGGAGGTAATACCGGTGTCCATGCTTAGATATTATGACATTTCATGAGGTTTTAATTTCGTGGTTAAGGAATCATTCGGTAGTGTTATATAAGAAAAATTGCATTCCGTGGTGGATAAAAATTCATGGTTCTTTTCATACATGTAAAACGGAAAACCACGATTATTAAGCTCACGAAAATTTTTGATTTCATGTTTATGTTTAGTTCACATTATTGTTCGATTGAGTATGACTCTTCATGGGTTATCTACCCAAATGTTTATGCATACAAAATTAAAGGGGGTGTCTAGGGTTTTATCATCCTAAAACCACAATAACGATACACTTCATTTTTATACCATACATAACGTACATTAACTATAGTCTACAATCAAAATTTGGGGGATATCTACTGTCCAGGTGTTTTTAAGGGACTGTCTCAAAATACAGGTACATTAAAAATAGGATTATATAGGAAAATGCAAATTTTTAGCACTTTAAAGCAGATTATACAAAAACCAAAATAGACTTCTTGTTCAAACTAAGATACGAGGGTTGTCCCAAAAAGTCGTAGGCAATGTTTATAATTTTTTTAATCATGCAACCAATACTTATCAAATTTTGCAAAGACATAATATAGTCAATGCTCTTTAAAATTATGAATTTTTAAATACATGTCTTTCATATTAACAATATTAGGACGATTTATATGAAGGCCGATAAGGCCTGTCGGCGCACGGACAAAATTCGGAATAATTTATGCATATAACTATTACATTTGCTTTTATTTCTTTAGTACTATATAATACATTGAACTCAAATTCAAATCACTGAAACCAGAATAAAAATCTAAATATTATGTCAAAATTTCATATAAATATCATTAGAAACACGCGATTGGTGTCATGATATTCATATATACTATGATTTTCATAGTATCGTTTAAATTGAGTTTGATGAAAATGACGTCGTCAAACGCGTAGTCGGCGCACGGAGATGTAATTAATTGTATTGGATATGGTTAATATACATCAAAGACGGGAAAAAAGTACAGAAGTGACATTAGACACCAGATTTTAATTTTTAAAAAGTTATTTTTAAATTGCACGGTATTCAATGAGAGGTTTTCTTCTGTACCGAAAATAGTTAATTACGGCATGTATGAAGCAGAGTACTGTTTGATAAACGCAAACAATTAGGGAAAATCTTGACCGCTAACAACGTCAAACAATTTGTATTCTCTGCTGCCTTCAATTTAAGGCAATCTTTCGACTAAATTTCGACTGAAATTTGAATATGCTTAAAAAAAACAAGTAAAAAACAAACGGATAGTATTGAATTTAAATATGTCTGTTAATCAAGAGTGGTTTTTCACTTAAAAAAAACATTGATTGTTAATACCCGCTAGTGAAGCAGACAAAGAGATCATGACGTTTTGAGACGTAATTTACGCTTGCTTTCGTGCGCCGGTGTACACTTATATTCTTTCTTTTTTTTTCATAATTTCCTTATTAGATGTGATATCATCATGAAACTTGAAACGCATCAACATAAAATGTTACTCTTTGCTACGACATGGAAAGAAATTTAATAAAGCAAAGAGAAACAAAACTGTTTAACCTGTCTACGACTTTCTGGGACAACCCTCGTATTTGATGAGTAATGCTGAAATGTTCATAAAATGTAAGAAAAACAAAATTCTACCGTCTTGCTACCAGAGGAAGGGGGCATTTCAAAATGCCAAAGATTAACGGATTTTCCTGTTTTATAGAGTACTACAAAATATGAAAAGGATAAGTATGAAAAACATAATAGAAAAAATGAATAAATTATATTCTGAAATTTCTTCTTTTTTTATAATTTCAAGAGAGTATGTTTACATTGCATTAGTTTTTATTTAATATCATTTTTATTACCGCTTTCTTTAAGAGCGTTTATCATAACTTCATTAACACATTGTAACGGCCTTGACCTATACTGATCAGTGACAGAATTAGTTTATAATATTGTAATTACATTTTTTAAACCTATAATACGAGGGTTGATCAAAAAGTAACGTCACAACTTCGATAAAATTGCTACTAGTCGACGTAAATTAACGAAATTCAACATGATAATGGCTATATATATTACAAATCAGCCCTGAAAATTTCAAATTAAAATGATGTATACTTTTCAAAATATCGAGTCATATACAAAGTGCGATTATGGTAGTCGCCGCACTTAAATAACGTCGTCATACCCTTAAACGCTTCCCCTTCGATTCATTAAATTTATTTGAGATTCGCGAACACATAAACATATATTTCTCTTTTTAAAAGAATTAATGGCACCCATTGTAAACTCGGTCTATACATAATTTAGTTATCTGTCAAAATTCTTTGAACAGTACTAAAATACAGGCTTAAATTTTCTCATATCGCTCTAACCCTCTAACCGTCTTCTTTTTTTTTGGACAACGTCAGACACCATTTCAAGAACGTTTCCTTCCTACCTCCCCTTGTCGGTCCTTCTGTCCTCTGCTGATCATTTAGTGACACTTGACCCGCTAAAAATCGCTGAAATCATCAATTCTATAAACAAGTCTCTTATTTACATTCTATCCTCTGTGTGTCTGTTTATCATCGTAACTAATTCTACGGGCGATTTCCCTTTTTTGAAGGAAAAACGGATTACAGATCGTTTCAGCGGTTTTTTTCTATTTCGACATTTCTTTTGTTCATTCAAGCTGATTAAAACAGCAATGTTTATGATCAAACAGCAATGACGTCATTTTATTTTCAACTTAAAATTAGAAAATGTCGTAAAATTTTCTCTAATAAAATATTGGGCGATTAGATGTTCCTTTCTAAGATGCTTTTTAAAGTTTTTGTCAATTTCAGTATAACAATTTACAATTCAAAACGTGACACTTAGTTGTGACGCGGCGACCCCCCATATGTTTAATATTTTAAACGTCTATGCATCTTTTGGTATATTATATTTGATTATATGACGACAAATAATAAAGATATTGAATATATTGATATACACCGTGACATTACTTTTGGATCAACCCTCGTATCTTGATTTTGTTTAATCTTAATAATTAAGCAAAGAAAGTTTTACTATGATGCAAGAAATATTGTGCAATGGAAACCACTGTCGCCCCTTTAAATTAAAGAACAAATAAGAATAGATTATTGTTTTTTCCATAAAGTTTTATGACCACAGTATGTTGTCTTTAAAACAAAAAAGACAAAATATTTTATCACTGCAAAATGTAATTTTGTCATTTGTTAAAATTTTGTAGGAGACAAGTAATCAAAATAGGCTAAACCTTTGCAAATAACTTATTTCATGAAACCCAAAATATGTGTCGGATCAAAACACAAAATAGGAGGTGCACAATGGTATCATTATATAAAGATTCTCTGAAAGTCTCCATTCAATTTCATTCAGTTGGTTAAGACTGATTGATTGATTGTACATTATTTAACGTCCCTCTCGAGAATTTTTCACTTATATGGAGACGTAAGTAATGGGTATTCCAAAGCTTAACAGACGGACGGACGTTCGGACAGACGGACGGACATACCGATTACTATCTACATGTACCCTCTCGCTTTCAAGAGAAATGTGTAATGACATAATTTGCTAAATGAATGTTTCCCACTTAACTGAGCCATTTGCAAAATCTCTAATTAGTGACTATACCGTATGATTTCATTCTGTGCAATGATTAAGTGATGAGTATTATATAAGAACCTTTTTGTATCAACATAACCGTAAAATAAAAAAAGAAACATTGTAAATCAAAAAAGAAAATCGGTGAAATTTTCATTTATTTCTTAAAAAAATGATCTGTTGAAAATCCACAATGTTATAAAAAGAATAGGATGTATGTGCATCGTGCTTCTTATTTCAATTTTAATCTTTTTCATTGTTTTCATACACACTAATGAATTAAGGGAAGTGTTCTTCCGAATAAAATTCTTAAACATGCAAGAAAAAAATGTTCGTTTATTAGCTGTCTGAATAAATTTAATTTCAACATTTTTACACGCAATGACATTTTATATTATTTTTTTCAACATGAGCACACTCGTTACCGCAAGATATTTTCATTGGAAATTTTTCTCTGACAGTTATAATTATTTTTCTGTTTCAACACTTTGCGGTAACGACTGTGTTCTATGTGTAAACCAGGATTAATTGTGTAAATTTTGAGCATTTTTTCGGAAAACCTCAATCATGCTGCTATTTAGTTTACTCTGTTAACTTTTTTTCCTTAATAGTAAATAAATCTTCATGGACCTCAAGGCCGATAGTTGTCTCAGTGGGTTCATCTTCATCTGTTATACCTCCTCCGTGAAGCTTGCTAAGAAGAGTTGTTTTACCTGCACCTGCACATCCAACTATCATGCCTCTGGCGCGAAACATTTTTACATTTTCTTCCTTGAAGTTTTTCAAAAACCTTTCTCTAGCATCGATATCCTCTCTTAATATTTCTTCAGGTATATTCACTAAATGATGCAAATGAATGTCACAATTAATATTCTCCTGAATGCAAAAAGTTTACCCTTATTAAGCAAATATAAAGTACTATTTGATTAAGAGTTCAAAATATTCAACTTTGATTCAGAACGTTTCAGAGTTTTGGAATATTAAATATTTGTGCAAAAGTTATTGTCTACGTTATTTTTTATATTTTGGTATTTGAATACTAAAATCTAACAGTTTGAGAGGTTGACATTATTATAAATGTGTATTTCGAAGTCATAAAAGAAAATTTGTTCATAAACATGCCACAATATCTGTTTAGCTGACAGGTTGGCAAACGGACATGTTGACCACAATATTACTGTGAAGTCATTAAAAGTTTATTTGTTGATAATCGTGCTTTGATATATGGCTGACAGGTCAACACGTTGACATCATTAATATTGCGAAATTCGAAGTAATGAAAGTATAGTTGATAGGTCGACAGGTTGACATTATTATAAATGTGTATTTCGAAGTCATAAAAGAACTCAATAAACATTTAGATGTATTCAAAGGATTTATTTAATATATGATGCTAAATTATTATAATAAATCGTTTGTACGAGGGTTGTCCCATAAAATCGTGGACAAAGCGTTTTTCTCCAAAAGTAATGGGCGCACTAAGCTGAAATTTTCTGTAAATGTTTATTCATCATATTTAAGTGAATCATAATGTTTTTGATAACATATATTCAAAAATAAAGATTTTATTCTGCTTCAATGTGCACAAGGTACGGTCCTACGGCGCACGGTAAAAATAGCAAGGTTATATTAGAGAAGACATAAGAATTAATTCGTAATAAAAGTTTTCAATACATAAGATTAGGATGAAAATTATCCTAATTCCATTCCTTAATCAATTCTGTCGTCTTTTTAAAAAATTCAAGGCATTTGGTTAATTTTTAGCAGTTTCCCGAGCATTTGAAATGGGAAAGTAATAAACACAATACACGAAAAATGGCGACTTTTTATGACGTTACGGCGCACCGGAGAGCAGTTCAGATAGATTAGGATGTTGTAATGACGCCTTTAGAGACTTTAAATGAATACAGAAGAAAGAAAATATGAAAAATATCACCAGATCTTTAGTATATAAATGAAATGAAAGTTTTCTTAGTGAAATCTTCATGGTCAAGTCCCCAGATATTACAAAACATATGGACAGACTGACATTTGTAATATTTAGCAAAGGACGCTGTCACCGTCGACCGTCGATGTGAGCTTCTCTTTTAGTTGAATGATGGTGAGAATACTGTTTGTAACTTGCTAATAAATATTCAGAAGATCGCATGAGTGTGCCACATTGGTTTCTTAACTGGTTATAGATACTCACATATGTAAATCAATAAATTTTCTAAATTTAAGTGGGGCTTATCCAACTTTAAGTTTAACAAAGATGAAACGTGACGCTGTTTTAGACACTTTGACGTTATTATCCATGCGCCGTAGGGCGATACAGTACATAACATAAAATAACACAATTTGTTTACCTATGCATATATCTGTTTGAAATTTGCTACGTATATTCATAATTTATCTACTAAAAAGTGGTGAAAATTTCAGAACGCAGTGATGATTATTTTTCAAACTAGACAACTTGTCCACGATTTTACGGGACAACCCTCGTAAATATTCATTGAAAATGAATTTGCATTTTATTATTTTGTACATATATTTATTTTAGAACATAATTTAATAATTATTATGAATATTTAAGGAGGCTGGGGGGGGGGGGGGTTCAACAATTTAACTACAAATTAACCATCAGATTTAACGAATTTTTTTTAGATACGGTATCTTAAGATGTCAACATTCATTAGGTAAAGAAAAAAACCATACATTTTAGTTTTGAATTTTGATCATTTTTGTACATCTTTATATGGAGCTCTCCTTTTAAAGGAGATCGAAATAGTCTGAAAATGGCTGCCACCCTCCAGCCTCGTTAAGATCTTTTAAAAATATAATAATAAGAAGAAAACCGATTTACGACAGATTATGTGGATGGACCTATATTCGTATTCCTTTGTATTCGAGTAAGTTATGTAACTATTTATCTGTGCTATATTATTTACTCAATATATTTTTGCATATATACTAGTAATTGTATTTTACGAAAGCCGGATAGGATTGTCTGAAAAGATAAAAAAAATATTTAACTCGTTATAACGAGTTAACTATCTCGTTATAACGACTTAGTATCTTGTTATAACGAGTTAATTATCTCGTTAAAACGACTTGTTTTTATCTCGTTATTACGAATTACTTATCTCGTTATAGCAAATTAATTATCTCGTTATAACGAATTAGTTATCTCGTTATAACGACTTAGTTAACTCGTTATAACGAGTTAGTTAACTGGTTATAACGAGTAAGTTATCTCGTTATAACGAGATAGTTTTCTCGTTATAACGAGTTAATTATCTCGTTATAACGAAATAATAAGTTGCCCCTTAATTTCCAAATTAATAGCAGTATAGGAATTAAAATGGCTGTAATTTTTTAATGCCACTGAAGTTTAGTTGACAATTATCAGTCGTACTTAACTTTAAAATTGATAAAAAGTCGCAAATATAATTTGCAGTATGGTTTAAATAATATTAATCCTGAACTATCTTGCTGTCAATAAAAACAGTTTGATAAAAATAACAATCTTTAAACAGAACACATTTATACATTGATACGTGAACGTCTCTAAGGACACAATATTAAAAAAAAATTATTGCCAAATGTACTTGCTTCAAAGTTTGGCACTTTATGTATGACAACTTTCTCCAATAAAAGACGTTTTGGATGACTTATAAGCTTTCACAATCAATGTCTAAGTTCCTAAATTAGTACATTATAATAGCAAGCTTATAAAGGCGTTGATGCAACATATATTATATTACAGTGTGATATATATTATATTTAGAGTAAGAAATGTTTTGAAGAAGGGGGATATGGAGACATCAGCAATTAAGTCATGGGCGTAAAATTCGGGAGCTACTGTCCACTCATAACACAACATCACGAAGCAGCCAAACGTTTCCGTATACATGTACACGTATTTGTCTTCAGTCTTTCAAGTTAAACAATACATGTCAACTGCATCGTTTATAAATAAGCGAACTGCAATCACAGAAACAACCCCTCGAAAAAACAAAACAAAACTAGTTTGTTGTTTTTCAATAAAATCTTTATAATACACACTTTAAACAGACTTGATCGATTCGGTTTTATATGCCATACTTCCTATATCACTTAGACCATTTTTAAACTCGCTATATCGAGAAAAATTAACTCGTTATAACGAGAAAATTATCTCGTTATAACGAGATAACTAAGTCGTTATAACGAGATAACTAGCTCGTTATAACGAGATATTTTTTGTATTTTATCAGAAATGAGCCTATCCGCCTTTTATAGCATTTTAAAAAACCCAAAAATGTAAAATATTTCAAGCATCAAGTTATAGAAATGCTTCAAATGACAACCTTTGGCAATATAATATGTAAATAACTCTCTCAAATCAAAGTAAAACTTTTTAAAGAAACGCAGATTTTTTTAAGATCAGATTTATAGATGAAGTATTTTTCTGCAGTTACTAGTAAACATAAGAAATACTTACAACGTTTACTGATTCTGTTATGAATCCCCTCGTCAGACACGGTACAGTGTGTGATGATATCCAGCTGTAGTTTGTCTATGAAGAGGTCGTACATCTTCTCCGGTCTGTCCGGTACATACAGACATCTCTCTCCCTCACTCCTCTTATACTCCCAAGACCGGCAGTATTCTGATATCACTTCATGTGACGCCGTGGTCAGGAAAAACTCCAGATCACTGTCCTCCACCAGACACTCCGTCACAAAG